CCCACACTTCAAGAAGGATGTGGACAAATTGGAGAGAGTCCAGCGAAGGGCAACGAAAATGATTAGGGGTCTGGAACACATGAGTTATGAGGAGAGGCTGAGGGAGCTGGGATTGTTTAGCCTGCAGAAGAGAAGAATGAGGGGGGATTTGATAGCTGCTTTCAACTACCTGAAAGGGGGTTCCAAAGAGGATGGCTCTAGACTGTTCTCAATGGTAGCAGATGACAGAACGAGGAGTAATGGTCTCAAGCTGCAGTGGGGGAGGTTTAGATTGGATATTAGGAAAAACTTTTTCACTAAGAGGGTGGTGAAACACTGGAATGCGTTACCTAGGGAGGTGGTAGAATCTCCTTCCTTAGAGGTTTTTAAGGTCAGGCTTGACAAAGCCCTGGCTGGGATGATTTAACTGGGAATTGGTCCTGCTTCGAGCAGGGGGTTGGACTAGATGACCTTCTGGGGTCCCTTCCAACCCTTATATTCTATGATTCTATGATTCTAATCCGGCTCCTAAGGATACTTAATGCATCTGAGATGGAGAGGGAAGGAGGAGGAGGAAAGGGAAAGTGAAGGAGCCAAAATAAACACACAAAGCAACACAAGACAGAACTGGGAGATGGAATGTGTAGGAATTAATGCCGGACCACATAAAACCTTGCGCAAGTTATCCAGTGTATCTAAAATTTATTTATTAGGGAAACTCTCCCCACTCCCTCTTGCACCTGACACTCTGAGTTTAGATGTTTTAAAGATTCAGAATTTAAAACATATCAAAGGACTACATAACAACACTTCTGAAAAAAGGCCTTATTAGCTTCAGAGCAGATCTTTGCCTGTCAGCCCCTTTTAGTCCTCCAATCATGAAGAACTGAACAAATAATTATTTTTATAGTAGCATATAATATAAGCCTTTACAATTAAGAAATGTGAAGAGAGAAAAGAACCAAAAACAAGATCATTTTTCCAGTGACAAGCAATCCAGTCCTGAAATAGGGACAGAGATAGGCTATAACTGTAGGCTCTTCAGTAGCCACAATGCAACCTTGTCTACTTAGTTTTGTGGCTGAGTTGCACTGAACTTGAACATTTCAAAAGGAACAAAATTGGGAAAACCCACAACTCTCCCTGCCTTCCCACTTCAAACAACTGGCCTTTACAAAATACCCATTCTAAAGATACACGTTCTCTGGAAGCAAACAAGTTTATAGTGGACAAAGTGAACCAGGTCTGCACTTAACATAATGGGAATCAGATACATCGGAGTTCTTACGCTAATAGAGTTTTGTAACAATATGCACGTTAATCTCTGATCAAATAGATTACAAAGTACAAGTAAGCGATCACATGAACAAACAGGACAAAGGGCTCCAAGACAGTCTAATGCAGAGGTTGCACAAATGTTTTTTTTTCCCCCTATATAAGGTTCAGGGAGGTTACAGATTAATACAAATTGATTTATTTTTTTGGAGGAAAAGGTGGAGGGATTTAACAGTGCTGGGGGGAAAGGCAGAAGCTAAGAAAGCCAGTACTACCTGAGACATCACAGTGAGAGTCTATGCAGGAGCTAGTTTTGGTAGAGACAGAATATGGCAACTAGGATGAGTATTAAGAAAGAGAAATTGTCCATGGAGTCTTAAGATGGTCCACCCACAATAAATATTCTGTTCTCATAAGACAACCTGAACTGGGAACCAGTGAAACTAGATAACTAGCTCCACGGGTGACCAAAAAGTATTGCAAGAGTCTGCATGAAATAAGAAAAAAAAAAAAAAAAAAACAAATCTCAACTGGTGACTCCATACTAAAAAAACCTGCTATGAGACTTCTGTGACTGAGAATGAGAACAGGATAGTATTTTGACCCGTTGGTACCACAATGAAAGAATAGCCTTGGAAGCATTTGTTAATTTGAGATTTTTCTTTCTACTCAGAAGCCACTCATTCTGGGAGAAGGTAGTTGCTTGTCATTGCCACTTGCTGTTTTATTTGATCTCAGATTGCGAGTAAGACAATATTCATGGAATGATTAAGGAAAAAGAATCCCAACTTATTAGGATCTCTTAGTTGAGCTGAGGTAAATACTGGGCACTTTTGTAAACTGTGCATATTGCTGTTTATGCAATACGGGCATAAATAGATGCATGCATGAACTTAACAAGAAGAGTGCATAATACTCAACTACTGATGGCAGGGCATCCTGGGCATCAATTCATCTCACTGCATACAAGAAACTATCTGGAACACCTCAAGCTGAAAAGCCCCTTCTAGAAGCGGTATACCACGCTGCCATATAGGGGATCAGACTTAGGGCTTGTCTACACTATGCAGCTTTTACCGTGTGTGAACTCTCTCTCCCGTTATTTTGTTGGCACTTTTGCTGACAAAATACTTCCAGCCCCGTGAGCGATGTTAGCTTTGTCGGTAGGAGAGCGCTCCTGTCGACAAAGCCGCGTTCACACTGCCACTTGTATCAACAAAACTTTTGTCTTTCATGGGGGTGGGGCTTTTTTAAGTACCCATGAAAGACAAAAGTTTTGTCGACAACGTTGCAGTGCAGACAAGCCCTTAGGAGTGTCACACTGTACTATGTGAAGGAGGTCAGACTAGATGATCCCTTCTAAGCTTAAAGTCTATGAGATGTACTGCCCTTGGAGCTGGAAATACTTCAGATTACCTTCAAGCAGCCCACCTCTGGCTTGCACTTGAAGCACTATTATTAACAGGTTGTAAAAGGAGTCACAGCCAGCATTCCTCAGACATAGGGAGAGCCGTCACGCCAGATATGTAAGGGATGGGGAGGGGGATTCAGAATAACTCCCTAAACAAAAACAAAGAACATGTATGCCAGGTAAGTACCACTATGTGGCCTACTCTCTTGTTCCACCTGCAGCATATCATGCCATCTGCTACGAGGATCTGTATTTTGAGCGGATTGTGAACACAGTTTACCAAAGTTCAAAGCACAGTTTCAATACTGTTGCATGTTATGCACTGGCATCCAAAAAAGGGGTGGAGGTGTCTCAGCTATACATGTATGCCATACTCTGCGCACAGTCAGCTGTGTTATCAGTAACTTCCTGCACAACAACTGGAAAACAGAACATCTATTGTAGAAAACATCATGCTGCCATTTGAGAGAAAAAGTAATCGAGATCACTGGTAAGACAAAGAGCTGCAGGCCAAGATATTGCCTCTTCACTCCAGCTCAATTCAACAAACAGATTTCTCTTCCAAGTACTCTCCTTTTAGCACCTCTATGCCTCAAGTTTGTTTCTTCCACCCTTCTTTCATGTTGCTGAATGCTGATAAGACAATACTTAATTTAGCCAGTTTTAGTACTGAAGCTCAATTTCTTAGTAAGAGCTTGTCTTGATGGGGAAATTGATTGGAATAACTCCCCGCATGGATACTCTTATTCTAGAACAGCTGTTGCAGAATAGATTATTCCGGTCAATTTTCCTTGTAGACTAGCCCTGAAACAGAGACTTTCTGCACAGCAAAACCTTTTCTTTATTTATTTCCATTTGCTAGAATTTAGCTTATCCCAGCTGCAGCCTAATTTTAGCCTTATGTATGGTAAATAATTGTCCACAGACAGTAGGTAGCTAGTTAGAGCCACTAGTTTCACTGAAAAGATTAGAATTTGCTTCCCAACACTTAGCAGTCACAGGAGGTTTATCTTTTTCTATGGCAAGAGAATCTATATATGGCGAGAATTAGCATGTGTTCCTCTGCCTTATTCCTACAAAACTACTGCCAATTTAGGACTGTACCCTCCACCAATCTGGTGGATATTTATTGTGAGGATGCTTCAAAGTCTCAAAAAGCCTAGAAGTGGGTAAACACAAATTTACTATGGTCTAGCACTCAAATGATTCTCTCAAAAACAGAAGTAAAATAAAGGTGAAATCACTACCTTTGCCTTGTAATAGGCCTAAATGTTTTTTCTTTTACTTTTAAACTAATTTTTATGAGGGACAATACTATGATCAGCAAGAATATGGCAATACACATAGTCTAATACAAAGTGAAGCAAAATCAACAGTATCAACCTTCTGGAGGCTACAGCAAAGTCTTATGCCCCACCGAACCCCACAGCAAGACAACAGGGAAGAACTGGGTCTGCAAGTGTCCTTCCTACCAGTTTAGGAGGAGCTGCCTCAGGACACTAGGATGCCACCACTTCTTTCTACTGCATGGCTGAGCTAAGCCAACAACTTTCTAGTGGCGGTGAATAAAAAGTCCCACCTGCCAGATACTGCACCATGCAATCATTGCCCAAAAGCTTTTCTTTGTAGCTTTCAGCCATATGGCTGAAGAATTGCAATCCTCCTACTATCTGCATTTCCATGTCATTAGCCCAGGGCCAAACTTGCAAGGATTAAGGGAAAATTCCATGTTCTTTATGAAGCCAGTTCAAAATTACTCAATTGCCATATTCAATCCTACATTTTGTGACCATCAAGTGCTATGCCAGCTCCCTGCCCCTCAAAGGCTTGTATTCTCCCAACACCACCAATCTGTTTCAACCCACCAATCACGTATCACACCTTGGTTCTCTTCCTTGCTGCCTCAACTTCCCTGCCTCTCTCTTCATCCTCTGTCTCCCCACACTCCTTCACCCCTTTCACTATGTGTGATTCTTTTCTCATCACCCCTTCCCGCACTGACAAACATTCTATTATAATTTAACAGATTAAGCGGTGAGAAAATTGTGGAATCAGCTAACCTGATCAATCCAAATCATGTGTTTGATCTCAACTAGTTCCTCCCAACCTCACGCCCAGGCCAGCCCTTGTGCGCAGAGTTTTTTTATCTGTATATTATAAGCACCTCAACAAACAGAAACAGTATACCTGTGCTGTATGCGATGTACACCTATGTGTTGTATGACTAATACTAAATTGCAGGTCTACTTGCAAAAGTAACAGCAACATTAATGATTCCTGACTGCAGTGAGTTACAGCAACAGCCATCACAATTCAGAGAAGTAACATTTCTTACCTTTGCACCTGCCAAAAATCCTAGAGAGATGGCAACTCTGGCTCGTAGGTCTGGTCTGTCTTTGGGCCATACATAAGATATCATTGCCCTGATAATCTTCCCAGCATCTATTTCTTTCAACTATTGAGAAAAACACATACATCATAATAGAAGAGACACAGAAATACATTTCAAAATACACTATTTAATAAACAGAATGAAAGACGCAAAATATAAACCCAGAATAAAAGTTACATTCACTAACCAAGGTGAGTTTTATTCAAATTACCTGAAAAAACTATTCAGGAGTTTCAAGACATTAGGAAATCAAGTATTTTTCTTTTAAAAGTTGTCCTGAAGGTAATAAAATCTACAAAAACTATAAAAACAAGATGGTAGACACAGAACTGAGAAAAAGAAGTACAATCTATAGGTTCACAAACCAGTTATTTCACCTAAAACACCCCAATTTTAACCCCAAAAAGTATTCTCTTCCAGTCATGAATCCTCCACTTGTAGAGTATGCATTTAAATACCAGTGCTAAAAAACAGCATTATTAAAGGCATGACAGAATTGTGTTTTAACCTAAAAATATTGTCCATATGATACAGGAGGAAAATGATTTCTATACTCAAATATATGAGAGTTAGAAACTGTAGAATGACATAAAAATGTAATGCCATTTAGGAAAACATTTAGACTTTTCCATAGGAAACAAGAGTTGTTGCCTCAGCAAATGATGGGGCAGAAGTATGTCACTGGAGTTAAAATGCATCTTATTGGTTTGCCATTGTTTTTGTAGCTCTCCTTGTCAGAAGCTTCTGTACTATAACAACATAAGGGGCTAGTCAATGAAATTGAAAGGTGGCAAATTCAAAACTGACAAAAGGAAACACTTTTTCACTCAATGTCTGAACAGACCATGGAACTCAGTGACACATTTGTTGTTGAGGGCAAGACTTTTGCAAGATTCAAAGAGGGACTGGACTCATATACAGATAAGAATAATCAGAGTTCAGTTAATGCTAAAGTTAAAGCTTTGGAAGGGATCTAAACTCTCATTTTAGGGTTTAAAACAATCTATTACGGTTTAGGATAAAACCTACATGAGGGGTAGACTATATCACATGTTTACTGGGGAGAAGGGGAAGGTATTTTAACTGCCTCTGAAGTATCGGTACTGGTCACTGTCAGAGGATAATGGGTTAGGCAAACAATGTTTCTGACAGAATATGGCAATTCATATGTTCCTATTTTTGTGAATATTGTCTTATGTAATTGTTATATAAAAATTCTGATAAATGTAAGTGAATGCAATACTTGCACTTAGTGACAGAAATGTCCAGTGTGTAACTGTATATTCCCTATCATTTTATTTGTATGAATGGTTTTACTTTTATTTGATAATGGAAAAAAACTACAAACGTTTTAACATAAAGCGTCCGAGGGTGTGACAGCACGTGAAGTATTTCCCATAGTCTAGGGGCTAATTTATATAGCACCAGAAACTTATAAGGGACTGGTACAATAAGTGAACTGTGCTGAATTCGCACATGCTCCAAAGAGCTTAAAGTGTAACTACACGAACAGGTACAATACAGAGAAGAGTGATGGTTAATCATTGCTCTAATGCTTCATGGAACAAGTGGCTTTTTCAAGACTTTTGAATGCAGTGTGGGGCTTGGCACGTATTTCCTGGGAGACAGTTCCAAGTACCCAGAAACAGCATGAAAGAGAAAACAAAATCAGGAGTGTAGTGAGACAAAAGGGATCAAGGCAAGAGAAAGGTCTGCATGGACTATAGAAAACATGTAAGTTAAGTGCATCATTAGATACAAAAAAATAAATGCAAGTTTCTAAGATTCAGTTTCTGAGCATACAGGAACTCAAATGCATCTGAAATTAAGTATTTGTGCTAGATGTTCAAAATTTTTAAACATTCATATTTTAAACTAAAATAATGGTAAGCAAATGTAATTTAGGTGCATTACCATAAACTGAAATGTTTCAAGTATTTAATCATTTAACAAGCTTCATGTCACTTATCCCTCTTTACAGAATAGTGACAAGGACTCTTGCTCTGCCTACCTAAAAAAGTGTTTATTTTCTTTTAGGATATTCTACAGTGTACACTGGGATTCTTTCAATCGGTACACATTAAAGTTATGGCTAAGAGCAAAAAACCAACCAAACAAAATCCCAAAACTGTTCTAGTTGGGTTAATTGTGTGTAAAACGTCACCACTTCATTTAAGAGTGGCCTCTGCAGTTGGGTAATCATGCATTATGAGGTCATTTAGCTATACATGACTACAGTTTAGTTTAAACAGTACTGTAAAGTTTTTGCTGATCTTTTATTTTATATCCTCCCCCTCCGACCCTGAAGCTCCTTTTTAAGCCAAGGACAAATCCAACATTCAGATGACAGCACACATCTTTCTGAATATAGCCAAGACGTTTTTATAGTGAGATAGTTTAGTGGATAAAGCAGAAACCTTTTTTCTTGAATTCCAAAGACGTCTACCTGCTGAACAAAAATCATATAAAAATGTGTGCCTCAGTTCAGACTCTAATGTAACATACAGTACTACACTGACAACCAACAACTCATCCTCCGTCAGTGCTGGACACCCAGGGTTAATCTTGAAAGACAGAAAGGTTATCTAAAGCTGAAGTGAAGCCAGCCTAGCAAGTAAACTAAATTACCTATCACCTCTGTGTGGGTTAATCTTTCCATTTCAGGCTACATTTGTTGGGAAAAGTTTATTTGCCCTTTTCTGGATGAATTTTTATTAAACAGAACAGCCATGAAAATAGATGGATTTTACAATATAATTCTGTATTTCCCACACTGCAGCATACCTTACGTATTCCCCCTTACATCAATTTCATGGGAAAGACATACATAAGATTTAAAATTCACTGTGAAAGCCAAGTTTGAATCAGAGGGAAAAGGTAGGGGTTTTTTTTGTTAAGAGAAACGACTGCTGAAGCAACCTGGAGAAACCAATATCAAACTTAAGCCTATAATTTAACAGAAAAATCCAGCTCTCTTTATGTTTTGAGTCTCAGCTTCAATGGCAATCAGAATAGAAAAGTTAGTAAGATACATTGACAACTGCTGACAGTACATACAGTACCTGAGCAATATAAGTACCCTCTACACAGCCTTTAACAAGTGGATATATTGACAATTCATGAATCAGTAGAGGATGCAAAACAACATATTTCTGCTTATCCCTTGCTACACAGAAGAGGAGATATTTGCAGCAGCACATGCATGAATCCTACGCTTTGTAGTGAAGGATATGCATAAATAGTCTTGTATTTCAATCTGAAAAGATGATTTTTTTTTTTTAGCACCCATTAATGGGTTGGAAGGAACAAACTGGTGCCATGTTAATAGGAAACCTACTAGAGTGACTGGAGTGGTTCTAATTATATGTTGCTATCGGCTAGTCAGACTTTGTACAGGAAAGCTATTAGAGAGAAAAAATGAGAAGGAAATATAAAGGCTGCAAACAAGGAATTCAATTTGGCTCCTTGAGGGCTTTGAATGGTTACAAAACCAAAACAGTCTATTCAGAATAGAGTGAGAAGGCAGCAAGTGATTTGCAGTGGCCTTGCAAAGGATCAAGAAAACAAAAATTATCAAAGGATGCACCGAATATGCATTACACCAAAGTTCAACATAAAATGAACGTAGATATAATTATATATGTATAGAAACATGAATCTGAATGGAGAAGATATACGAGTCACAAGGTTAGGAATATTTTTTTAAAAATTAAGTCTGTTAAAGGTGACCTGTAAAGGAAAAAAGGGATTGTGTATATCATTGATGCCAAAGGGCTTTCTTTGAGTATTGCCCATGCCATCTTTTTGGAAGGAGAACTTGCTATTGTCTCCCATGGTCTTCCAGTCTCTGCTATGTCCCCTTGATAGTGTAGACTTCAATCACTAGGCCATTAAGGAGTGCTAACAGTATAACATGTTTTGGTACATAATCTCATAGGATGCCCAGCAAAGGGAAAACATATACACCAGATATGTCAACATGCTTATTATTATAGGAAGGGGCTGATAGTGCCACCTGTTCAGGTTGCCTGACACTTCCCATTATGAGACTCTGTTTTCAGTTGCTTCAATTTTACTGCACGTTAACCATTTGGGCTGAAATTATACATACTGGTGTCTGCCTCTAGCTGAATTTTGGGGTAAATTTCAGTCAAAGCTCTTCAGCAGTTTCTAAGAATGAAGCTTGGGAAAAATATATTGTTTTGTCCATGTTAAAAGTACCTATTTTTTTTTTTTTTAAAACAACTCTAGTATCCCCATGCTTTGGAGTTGGAACTGGTGGCTGGAATGCCTGTGTGATGTGCCTTTTGCTTGTCCCTGGAAAAATCTGCCCAAATTTGGTGAAGCTATAAATCTCTAAAAATAAAATAAAATAAAATCACAGTTTGCACATGCTCTGTAGAGACTTCTTAGACTTTAAGAGTTACAATTTCTTAGGAGTCCATCCTGGCTAAGTATTCCTGAGCCTCTCACAACCTCTCGTGCTGATCAGACTGGGCATGAGCCATGCTCTCACAGTAACTGAGGCTGCTCTAGCCCAGGGCTAAAGGAATGAAGACAGACTTTCCCTATAATGGCTGCTCCAGGATGGGGTGGGGCCAGGCTCTGGAACTAAGAGCAGGGAGCTGTCTCTTCTGTCAATGACTACTCTCATCCCCTCTGTACCCTGGCAGCATAGAGGAAGATGCAATCTGACTCAAAAAGCAAACTGAAATAAACAGAAATTATACACAAAGAACCAATGTTAAATGAATATTCAAGTTGCAATGGGAAAAATTAGAAAGTGTCAGAATTAAGGTTGCCTGTGAAACATTTAATTAAAGGGATAATGACTTTATAAACTAACAAGTTTTTTTTATTTTCTATTGCTGCAGTGAGTGCAGGCAGAGTGAGTGATGCACTGACTTGTACTGACAAGCAAATTCCTTCTACACCAAATGTCAAGTCCGAGAAATGCACTGACAAGCAGGAATAAGAGAACATATTAAAGTATAATGGAACATATCTGTCATGAAAAGTCTAAAATACCGGAAGCTAATTTCAAGTCAACATCTGTGACACTTTGGTGACTATTTATTTATAGAAAGCCAGAGAATTTGTGGGAAAATAAACAGATAAAATCATTACCAGTGTTGGGTAATTTAAAATCTACTAATCCAAGGTTCAAAACTAACCGTATTTATTAGACAACAGTCTAAAAACTAAACTAAGCAGCCATCTGTGTGAAACATTTGCTGTTTTCCATTGTTAAATGTTTGAAAACGCTGAACATGATTGATACAACATCTTGAACAGAGTTTGAGTAATATTGAGCTAATCAAGTTTTTACCCCTTGCTTTGGATCGGTGTGGAGTCCTCCACCTGCATGACCATGCCAACATGTTCTCTTATCTATCAGTGGCCTCCTCTGGAGATTCTGTGTAAAAAAATAAATATCCATTTACAGAGACTACAAGAATCATGGACTTAAAAAACGAATGAACAAAACTTAAATTCTGAATTAAAGTGACAATCAGAATAGCGCTGAAGATCTAGTAGCTCAGGGCCATCACCCAGAGGAATGGAGGTTATGCCTCAAGAACAGTACTTTGCGGAGTAACAGTTATGTGTCAAAATACCTTAGAGCAGAAACTGTCTCTAAGAGTTACAGAAAGATCTCTAAATCCTTCAAGTACACATCTACTCTGAAAAATGACTATGTAAAAATGGCACCTTCTTTTTCAACAGACGTGCTTCCTGTGCACATGGAGCATGCTACCTGCTGATCTTAGAGACAAAGGTATGTTTTTAATGCTTTTATTTCCTGTCGACCTTGCCAAGATCTTGTATACATATAAAGCTTGCCAGGTTTAACTAAGGTCTACTTTAAAAAAGGAAGGTTTAACTAAACCAATGCAAAAACCTATGTGGACACATTTGTAAGTCAGGCGTACACTGAAATATCAATTTAGTTCAGTAAGCAACTGATTCAAGATAAGCTAAATTAATAAAAGGCAGGCGTAGACCAAACTAAGTAGACTCTTTAACCCAGTGGTGGGCAACTTGCGGCCTGCATGCAGCCTGTCAGGGTAATCTGCTGGCGGGCCACGAGACAGTTTGTTTACACTGCCTGTTTGCAGGCACGGCTGCCTGCAGCTCCTAGTGGCCGTGGTCCGGACAGCGGTCTCCATCCCACCCAGCTGAAGTGGCCACGGTCTGTGGCCCCTGGCAGCTGGAGCTGCTGGCCCCAGGCACCCCCCCACACACCCTCGAGCATCAGCCCCCCACACATCAAGTGCCCTCCACATTTAAACAGGTATTTTTAGTATGTCATGGACAGGTCACGGGCCGTGCATTTTTGTTTATTGCCTATTACCTGTCCATGACTTTTACTAAAAATACCCGTGATTAAATCATAGCCTTAATTATAAACAGGTTATAAGTCTCAATGTTTAATTACATCATAAATTAAATACATGAATTTCAATTTACTTGTGTCCGATTAAGTCATCCAAATATCATCTCATTTATTTTTTTAGCTATACATACTTTCCCTTGATGGGTAAGAAAATGCATTTTTACAAAGTCGCTGTTCAAGCACAACTGCACTTTCAATAAAGTGCTTAAAACCACTGCATTAGACTAGAATGCTATGATCAATTTAGCAAGTATCATAATAATGACACTTAGAGCTTTACAAATGCTTCCAAGTACTGTGCAAAGCATTAATCTACACCACTTCTTTGAGGTAGGATATTACTACTATCCCCACTTTGAAGACAGGAAAACTGAGTAGAGAGGTTAAATTACCTGCATAAGGCCAGGGAGGGAGGGAGGAGGGAGGGAAGAAGAGAGACGGAACTGGAGATCAGTAACTCCTGAATTCTACTCTAACAGACCTTGCTTATTAAAAAAAACAAATCTACAGTAAAACACAGTTAATTTTGCAATCTTATCAAGCACTTGAAAGTGACTAAATGCTAAATTTAAAGTTGTCCATGAAATCTTAATTCTGTCCCTTTGTGTGTCCAATCTCTGCACTGAATGAGCAGGGTTCCTGTGGGAAAAAAAAACAGTATATGATCATGTAATTAAAAACTATATTGTAATCCATATGTATAAGGGGGCATAATTATGATTGCATGGGCAACTCCAAGTGGTATTTCCTAACCTATGAGTGAGTGCATTTGCAACCTAAATAATGGTCTTTTAATACATTTCCTAGATGTTTAAAAAAAGATAAAAACAATGTTACATACCACTGTAATAATCTCCCCATCATGCATCATCAAGAATCCTGAGACTGCAGCATGGCAGCACAGACTTCTACCACAGCGGTTCTCAAACTTTTGTACTGGTGACCCCTTTCACATAACAAGCCTCTGAGTGCGACACCCCTTATAAATCAAAAACACTTAACACATTATAAATTCTGGAGGCAAAGTGGTGTTTGGGGTGGAGGCTGACAGCTCGCGACTTCCCCCCGCCCCCCTGTAATAACCTAACCCGACCCCCATTTTGAGAACCTCTGTTCTACCACTTCAGTTACATGGCCCATATGATGCTCCCAAAAAGGGGGATAGGAAGCAGGGGCCACGTGCCAGGTCTGAGGAGTGCAGGTTGAGGCAGCCCGGCCTGGTCCAGTCCCTTGCTGCTTCCAGACATTGCTAGTATAGTGTGTTCTGTGCTGCAGTGGTAGTGTGAACCTGTTTTTTTTGTTTTTTTTTAAATCGTGTTCAGTTATTTTAACATACTACCAAAATTTTCCTGATGAATATAAGTGGGAAACAGGAAATGATGATTTAACAGTTAATAATTCAGCTAAACTGAATGGAATTCCATAGGACAAACAAGTCACTTTGCTAACCAAGTGATTTCTCCTTAACTTTGAAGGCCTGCTGAAAACAAGAGAGGAAGAGCTTCTAAATAGATAGATTAGATAGATAGAAGCAAGAATCTTTTACAATGGAAAAAGTTAGGCAACCTAAATATTAGAGGACGCTACCAGGCAATATTATGAAATCTCATATATAATGTATATGGGAGGTAGCATCATCTAATATATTAGAATTCAGGAGTCCCTGACTCACAATTCCATCTCTGTCACTCACATAACTTGCCAATTATCTAGTAGTATTTAGAAATCATAAAAAGGGAAAATTATATAAAGGATGTAAAATACGCAGCATAAATTGGAAGATGCTTCAAGGGATAGAACTTTTCCCCCCTGAGAGAGTAGAAGGAGTTAAGACTGCTTAATCCTACCTTTGCAGCATCTAATAATTGTCTTGAATAACCACTCCCCAAACTCTGCCATGTAGCTTGTCTGAATCTCTGTGGAATCTGCAGGAAAGAAGAAGAAGAAAAAAGAGGATTGAGTAATTAACAGTGTATACTTCATGTTCAGAGAATATTTCACCTAGTTGGTGTAAACATGCATAACATGGGAACTAAACAAAGGGAGTGGTTGACAAGTGATCAAAGAAAAAATAAGACGCCAACAACTGGTGGGGAGCAGGTGCAAAATAAATTGCTTCCAACTATTAAAAATGCAAAACAACAAACCTTTCCCCCATCTCCACCCACGCTCTTGCTAGGCTTCCTATCCTTTGTTCCTTGAAAGCCCTTAAGTCCTTCTTCTCTTCTCATTCTGTTTTGTCCTCAGAGGGCCTTTGCATTCTTTTCAAATATCCCCTTTTGTTCTGTTTTATTCTTATCCTTGTTGCCCTCCCTGTTTTCATTCCCTCTTACCTCAAATACTAGGCTTGTACATTCGACCAAAAGGCTACAACTCTGCCTGGGAACTGCTGCCACTGCTATGAATCTGAACTTGACTGGGTTGCAAGTTTTTTCAGAAAGGATATAAAAAAACACCATATTCATAAATACAGGACTCTGCATGGACATAACATAGGTTACTAGCAGATGCTGTTACAGAAACTGGAACACTGTATTCTAAATACTGTAAGACACAGATCTTGTCTGTCTACCCTTCTGAAGTTCCTACAACCCTTTGGATGCTACTGAAACAGTAACTAACAGCCTTAAACCTGGATGGCCGTTTTCATTACACTCTTCCTTTCAATAAGGATGGTGAGCTATGTGTCCTCTCAAGCAACAGCAGACAGGGGGCACTCAGTGTGCTTCCATAACGTAACTGGTATATTTCAGCCAGGAAGCACGTTTTCTACCCCCAATGGTTGTTTCTGAAATCAGTCCTGATACTCCTAAAGCACGTGGCTAGTATTCCACCATAAACCTGTGTTCCACAGCTCTGTTGCGATACCAGCTGCACGGCATGCACAATATAAATCAATACTGTACTTACCGCAGAATAGCAAAAGGGCAGCTCATTGGCTCAAGGCAAAGAACAAACGTCAAGAAAATGAACTCTTAAGAAAAACATTTTTAACCTTAACAAATAGCAGCATGGCCTTGTATATATTTTCTACACATCGCCTTAAACCTTCTTTTTGCACTTGTCCTAAGTCACATAGTACATTACAAATTGCTGATGAAATACAACCAAGTGAAATTAACTTCTTCACCATATAATACTTGCCCATTTTAACACATCTTATTGTATTATATCCTGCATATAGAATGGGATGAAGTATTTTTGGGATTAAACATTCTATTACTTTTAAAGATGCATCACGCACTTATGGCACTTAATGTAGCAAATGGCTTTCTAGTTAGCCAATTCATATAAGCCAATGTCATCCATTCCAGCACCACACCTCAGCAGAGAAAAGTAAAACACGGTTTTCTTTAAATCCCTATGAGAAGATCCTGTTTGCATCCTAAAGGTTTACTGGAACGTTGATACCAGGGAGTTTGTCTCAGATTTATGCTGTAGTGCTTATGAAAGGTGTCAGCATGACATCCATATTTCTACCATCAGAGTCTTGACCAAATGACGAAGACATGCCGGTCTTTAAGCATAACAGTTTTTGCAAACAATTTTCCAACTATTGCTTAGCATGATGGGTGGGCAAGGCACTCTCCATATAAAATAATAAGAAGTAAGATAAAGGGTAAAAGGGTAAAATTTTCAAAAACATGCAAGTCCTAATGACTTTCTATAGAACTTAAGGTAAAATGACTTAGGGTAAGCTTTGCAAAAGTGCTTCAGTGACTTAGAAGCCTACATTCCTGCCCAGAACAGCTTTCAGTCTTAACAGTCAATTTTTCAAGGAGTTCCCTGCAGTATCCACCACACCCTCCAGCCAACCTTTATAAAGCAGTACACAGTTGTGTGCACATCATTTGCAGAGACAAGCTAACAAATCTGATGTGCCAGTGGTCTAATGTGGTACTGGAAATCCTAAGCACCCAGTCATACAGGTCAACATTCTCAAAAATGAGTGCCTAAAGTTAAACTCCTAAATAAGTGGTCTCATTTTCAGAAGTGCTGAGCCCCTCCCTCGCAACTGCCACTAACATCAACATTCACATCACATTTTTCATTTTATGTTTCAAATAGGAAGTAAGATCACAGAAGTTGGCGGGGAGGGGAGCAGCAGTAGCCCTCAAGGCAGTAATAGTATCTGTAACTAGTTTTAACTCTCGTTTTAAACTAACAAGATTGCAAGTTGACACAGTCTCTTTAAATAAGCATGTAACAAGCCAAATCATGTCAAATACTCAAACTTTTGGTTGCCTATACAACTGTGTTTGAAATCCATGCTCTGATCCAAAAAACCAAACAAAAAAAAATCCTGTCCATGGTGGTCATGGTAACAGCACTAGAAATTTGTTACCAACAACTTTGTTTAATCATGGTCATAGATAGCATAATTCTGATCCCACTGAGAACAAAGCCTTTGGAAGGTCCGATCTCAGTTGCAACACTGTAATGTCCTCATATGCTTAAGCAACTGTTTGGTCTTGCCAACGAAGATGGACCTTATCACCGTAGATGTGTTTTTGCTGTGCAACTGAAATGTGTTACTGCTACAGCTGCAGGAGAAAAACCCTCAAATCTTGGCAGACATTTGATAATCCTTTAGCTTCATAATAAACTCTTTACAGAGACAGCCATCCTTCACAGAGAACTCCCTCCAAGTAGCTCCCTTCTGTTTATATCGACAAGAACTCAAGCACTTCCACAGACCAACTGAGGAAGCATGGCATGGGAACAGAAGCAATTTCAATGGTAACGAGGTGTCAAACCATTTAGGGCTTTATAAATTGATTCCAACATCTTGAATTCCACCAGGTGGTCCACAGAAGAAAGAGCAGACCCTATTGCACTGATGTGGTATGCTCTCTGCCTCAAACAGGCCATGGATGGCATTCTGCACTAGCTTCAGTTTCCAAGTGGTCTCTGTGCATAGCCACATGTAGAGAGCATTACAGCAATCTAATCTAACTGTGGCAGAAGCTGGAATAAGAGTACAGATGCCTACATTAAAAAAAAAAAAATCATTCGTGGAAACAGCCACTACCTGGGTATCCAGCAGCAGACCAGGATTTAACACCACCCCTCATTTGCATACTTATGCTACAAATGGCAGCTGAACTCCCTAATTCAGGTGCAGTGATTAAATTAGGACAGCACTCATGACTGCTTCCCCAAATCTGTTAACACTACCCTCTTGTTTGGATTAAACCAATGTTTCTCAAATGTGGCCACCAGGGGCTTTTTGTGCGTCCACGACACTCTCCTGGTGATGGGCGGGGGGGAGAGAGGGGGTGAGCAAAGCACTGGCCCCTTCCCCTCCCTCCTTGTTGCTCCTGGATGCACCACCCTGCCACTGCCTCTGGAAAGAGGTGGGGCACAATGCTGCAGGAGCAAAGTGAGTTCTTGACCCACCTTGGGGGGGGAGGGGTTTGGGTGGCAGGCTCCAGCGGCAGGACTTCAGGAACCTGGCCATGCGGCTCTGACCGCAGGGCAGCAGGTATTGACACCCCCCATGCCTCTGGCCACGCAGCCCTGGCCTCCAGCTGTGAGGCTTCAGCCTCTGGACCCTGGTTCCAGCTTCATGGCAGCAGGCACTAGGTCCTGGCTCCAATCCTGGGCTCTGGGTGTGCAGTGGCAGGCACTGGCCACAGGAACCGACTCCTAGCCCCAATCACATGGCAGGAGGCTCCAAGCTACCCTTGGGGCTGAGGAACAATTGCCCACTGTAAAAAGAACAGGAGTACGTGTGGCACCTTATAGACTAACAAATTTATTAGAGCATAAGTTTTCGTGGGCTACAGCCCACTTCATCAGATGCACAGAATGGAACATATAGTAAGAAGATATAGATATATACATGCAGAGAACATGAAAAGGTGGAAGTAGCCATACCAACTGTAAGAGGCTAATTAATTAAGATGAGCTATTATCAGCAGGAAAAAAAAAGTTTTATAGTGATAATCAAGATGGCCCATTTACACAGTTGACAAGAAGGTGTGAGGATACTTAACATGGGGAAACAGATTCAATATGTGTAATGACCCAGCCACGCACAGTCTCTATTCAAACCCAAGTTAATGGTATCTAGTTTGCATATTAATTCAAGCTCAGCAGTTTCTCATTGGAGTCTGTTTTTGAAGCTTTTCTGTTGCAAAATTGCCACCTTTAAGTCTGTTACTGAGTGGCCAGAGAGGCTGAAGTGTTCTCCTACTGGTTTTTGGTTATGATTCCTGATGTCAGATTTGTGTCCATTTATTCTTTTGCGTAGAGACGGCCAATGTACATGGCAGAGGAGCATTGCTGGCACATGATGGCATATGTCACATTGGTAGATGTGCAGGTGAACAAGCTCCTGATGGTGTGGCTAATGTGATTAGGTCCTATGATGGTGTCACTTGAATAAATATGTGGACAGAGTTGGCATCGGGCTTTGTTGCAAGGATAGGTTCCTGGGTTACTGTTTTTGTTGCGTGGCATGTGGTTGCTGGAGAGTATTTGCTTCAGGGGGGCTGTCTGTAAGCGAGGACTGGTCTGTCTCCCAAGATCTGTGAGAGTGAGGGATCATTTTTCAGGATAGGTTGTAGATCTTTGATGATACGCTGCAGAGGATTTAGTTGGGGGCTGAAGGTGACAGCTAGTAGCGTTCTGTTATTTTCTTTGTTAGGCCTGTCCTGTAGTAGGTGACTTCTGGGTATTCTTCTGGCTTTGTCAATCTGTTTTTTCACTTCAGCAGGTGGGTATTGTAGTTTTAAGAATGCTTGATAGAGATCTTGTAGGTGTTTGGCTCCGTCTGAGGGAGTGGGCTGTAGCCCACGAAAGCTTATGCTCAAATAAATTGGTTAGTCTCTAAGGTGCCACTAGTACTCCTGTTCTTTTTGCGGATACAGACTAACACGGCTGCTACTCTGAAAATTGCTCACTGTGGGTTCTCTCAAAT